ACATTGTAGGATTAGATAATGTTGAAGATGCTTTAGAGGACATTTAAGAGGTTTGTCCTTTTTTGTTAAATGAAAAATAGAATTTAACAGACAAACATATTTATATTCCTCAAAGTAAGTCATCAAAAAATTGATTCTTGATTGGATATCAGTACTGAAAATCAGGTTTTGTATCAGCACCCGTATCAAAAAATAAAAAGAATTGATAAATGAGCTTGTTTTTTTATGGACTAGTTTTTCTTGCTGTGTCGTTATGTAAACCATATACCCAATAGGAATAAACATGTTTTGCATGTCTCTGATGGGGCTGATATGTTTGGGATGAAGTCACAACACCAGCTCCTGTGTCCTGATGTTGTGCCCTCAACTGTCTTCTTTTTTATGATGTCTTCAGTGTCAACCCCAACCCTGAGGGCTGTAAGTCAGAGACAGTCTGTCAAAATCCTCCCCTCTTCCTCCCCCTGTCTGTGGGTCTGTCTGTCTGTCGGTCTGTGTGGACAGAGACAGACATTTGGAGTTATATGATCCAGCTGCAGTGTGAGGACCAGTAGTCGCCCCTCAAACACAGGAAATCCCCTTACTTCTGCTTCACAGCTCTGTTGTGGCCGTATGTCTGTGTGTATATTTCTGCGGCACAGATCCTGTGTACATGCGCCAGAGTCGGACCACGTTTTTCAGGGGGGGGGGGGGTGTTACAGTACTGCAGGCCCAACCCCAACCAATCAAGTGACCGCAGTCCTCAAGGGATGCACACAAGAAAAGTTAGGACAAACCACAACCACGGCCTTTTTTCTCAGGAAACCCCTTCCAGAATACTCCTATTGGCTGACCCACAAGGCTAGCCTTTTTTTCATTGGGTCCTTGCCTCCCCCCACTCCTGCTCTTCTCTTTTAAAGGAAGTTTGGAGGTTTGGCCTCTGAACTCTGACCCCTTTGGGAAAAGCAGAAATGTCCTCTAAAGGGATCCATGCTGAGATGGCCGAGATTCTCTCTGGAATGTCCTCGATTTGGGTCCACATTTCCTTCTCACCACTGTCCTCTCTGACCCGGTTTTACAGGATTTTAGCCTCTTTTTAAGAGAGTGATAGCAATGAAAGTCTTATTGTCATCCTGATGATGACAAGTTGAAATGCATCACAATTTTTACTTGCACCACCCCAAGCAATGATTTAAAGGGTCAGTTCACACAAATCCAAGTCCATTGCCTCCATTGTGTTTACGTGTGGAGACAGAAATCCCAAGCTGTCCTATGTATAAAGTTAGTGGAGAAAATCCTGTGTCTTTGTGATTTGGGTGAACTGAACCCCTTTTAAAGAGGAAGAGTAAGAAAGATTCCCCTCTATCTATTCGTTTTCGGCCTTGTCAGCCTGCCCGTTTGGCACCACTTCCTCCCCGGGGGCAGCCCGCAGTTAAAGGTCTCTGTCTCCTGTGATTGCCGTAAAGGGCTCGTGGTTGTTAACTTGGCGGGTTTGCTTTGCCAGCAGGAGGCTGTGGGGCTGGGCCACTGCCGCTTGGCCCCCTGATCTCTAATTAGTACTGGCTTGTCAGCTAGTCAGGGTGGATCTGCTGGGAAATTGCTAGTCTTGGTACACACAGACACACATACACACATAAACCATAGCGTTGGGGAAAGCACACAAGGAAGCTGCAAGTGGGGGTGGAGGATTGTCCTGCTAGTTTTGGGAGAGTTTGTCCTGTGGATCATGTGGCTTTGACTTGTGTTGCCTGTTTTGATTCTTGTGAGGCTGAAGTGGCCTTATTTAGGGCTCGGGGTGTGTTTGTGTGTGTCTTAGTGTGCTCTTATTATTGGCGGTGCTGCAGCAGTGAAGTGGTTAACAGTCCCCGGGGGAGGCTCGTGGTTACAGCACGCAGGCAGGTTACTTCCCTCCTTCCTCCCCCGGTCTCCGCTCTCGTCTCCTCAGCTTAGTCCAGAGAGAGGACGAACAGTGCCCGAGGGATGAAGCATCCAGTGCAACGAGTGACAAAGGAGCTCAATCTTAGGAACAAGTGCCAGGGCGAGAGAGAGAGAGAGAGAAGAGAGGGGTGACGGGGGAGAGACATTGAGAAGCTCGAAGAGAGAAAGATGAGAGAGAGAGAGAGAGAGAGGCAGACAGAAGAGGGAGTGGGAGAGATAATTTGGCTGTGTGAACTCCTCTCAGCGGCATGAAGTTCATGAAGCTCTCTGATCCAGCCTTGGCATTTTCCCCGCACGCACTGGTTCCCACGGCAACTCCAGTGCAACCCCCTGACCAGGTAGATTGATGTGGTGTGTGTGTGTGTGTGTGTGTGTGTGTGTGTGTGTGTGTGTGTGGTGTGTTGTGTGTGCCCACATGTTGCCAATGAAGCTTTTGTCCCTCTGGTACATAATGAACTGTGGTTAGTCTGTTGAGGAAGCGTTGAGATCTTTGTGGGTTTGTATATGTTTGTTTGTTCATTTGCCTTTCCAAATATATTAATTTTCTTTTCATTGCATTTGTCTGTGTGTGTGTGTGTGTGTGTGTGTGTGTTGTGTGTTGTGTGTGTGTTGTGTTTGTGTTGGGGTTGGGTACTTTCCCTCTGTTGGGCTGTAATGGACGTAAGTTGAGACGGTTTTTGTGGTCACTCTAAATCTCTCCAGCAACCTCTCCGCTCGTCCTGCTCCACGGGAATGCTTTCAACTCCTGAAACCGTGTCTCCGCTCCCGCCGGCGTGTGATTTTATTTCTGCTGGTATGAATCCAGAGGGGGAAGTCATGTTTTTCTCTCCCGTCTCTGTTTGTCAGGTTGTTTGCAAGGTTTGCTCCCCAAAAAGTAGCAGATATATTTGGCTTGTAATCTGCAGAGGACCCAGCTGATTAGATTTTTGGTGGTAATCTGAATCCTGGGATTGACCATTGAAAATTCTTTGTTTTTGTTTAGTTTTTTTTTAAGCCAATAATTATATGTTGTGTTCATGTTGGTGTGGGAAAAGGTTCAGGACTTTAAGTTGGCTACTGAACAGCAACTGCCTGATTTGCTGTCCTCCGCTCATCCTGAAAATGCTGAACTTGACGGATGTAACATGAATTGAGGGGCCTGGATGGGTATTCAATACTCCTTACTTGTTTTTAGGTACAGAATGAAATGTTTTTCTGTATCATAAAGTATCACAACCTAGTGAGTCTTCGACTCAGTCTAGGGATATTTTCCTCATTTATAGGAAACTTTATTTATTTAGAGCTTTGTGTGGCCGCTTGTTTACTACAATATTTAAACAACGCGATTCTTTCCTAGCAGTTTGGTTTTAATTTTGTTAACTTAAACAAGAGTTTTGTGGAAATGTGTTCACCATTGCTCAACCTACGTAAGCTATTGGAAGAAGTTATTTGTTCGTATCAGTATTCGAAAAAGTTCAACAATAGCAGACCCATTGGTAAGATTATTGATTTATTAATTGCTGAGATATATTAAGGCCTATATGGCGATGCATTGATTAGTTAATAATTAGTTGACTTGCCTCCACAATAAATTTTGGGTAATTTGATTGTCATATTTTTAAGCAAAGAATGTCAAACATTCTCCTGAATTCCAGTTATTCCAGTATGTCAGCATCTGTTGCTTTCCTCCCTGTTGTAATGTCTTTGTATAACTGGCTGTGTTTTGTTTTGGACTGCGGTGGCACAAATTCAAGATGTATCTGGGCTCTTGAGAAACTTGTGGGCCATGTTCTTATTGCAAACATACGTGAAAGATTAATCAATAATGAAAATAGTTAATTTAAACGCAGTCCTGGTTGATGTGATAGAAAGGAAGAGAAATGTCAGTGTGCCAACCTAGACTATAACTCTTAAGGCCATGTCATACACAGTGTGGTGTGTTTATATATTTATTGTATGTGAGAGTTTTTTAAGGTGTCTACATACTTTTCTTGACTGTTTTTATCTATCAGTCTTCTGGGCATTTTGCCCCGTCTGTGTGTGGTGTGGTGTGTGTGTGTGTCTGTGTTTGTGTTTGGTCTGTGTCTCTGGTGCAGCCAACCCTGCCTGGCCTCACCCATCAGCCTCTCTGGTGCTTTCAGGTGATTTGCCACGCGGGCTTCCTGTCCCCGCTCCCGCGGTACACCCACAACACAACACACACACACACACACACACACCACACATACACGCACATATTTACAAAATATCCTGCATTAACTCCCAGCCTGTTTGCTCCTGCTCAGAATGGGTCGTTTGAACAACTCAAAAGACGCACACACACACAAGACCCACCATGATGTCACTCCCCCGACAAGCCTTTGTCATAATGATAGACATCCCCCATTCAGCCTGTTTTGCGTGTATGCTGTGTGTGTGTCCCCCCAAGCTGAAGCCAGTTCAGAATGGAGACTAAAGGAAGAGAATCCCCCAGGCAGTCTAGATGACGCCGGTATCTTTGTTTTTAATTTGCAATTTTAGAACAGATTTGTTCTTTTCTTTTCCTAAAGGTTCGAAATTAAGGTTTTAACAATTATAATCAGTCTTAAGTTAGAGTGGCAAATATTCACCTGAAATCTTACTGTGGCTCCCAAAAAGCATCTGGTGCCTCTAAGAAGTTCAGCTGACTGATGCCAGACAGTAATTGTTCTTGATAGAAGAAGCATCCCACCTCACTGATGTGTCTTCGGGCACTGTTGAGTAATATTTTGTGTCTGTCTC